ATGAGTAGAGTGCTCGATATACCGAAGTATAGACCTAATGTAGATAAAGATAAAATAAACCTGGTTACTTCATAAGATTTATTCACTACAAACTTGTTTCGTATGACAAGCAATGCTTGCCACACTCATTAGGTGAATTTAAAAAAAAAAAAATTTAATTTAATTTAAATTCACCTGATGAGTGTGGCAAGCATTGCTTGTCATACGAAACAAGTTTGTAGTGAATAAATCTTATGAAGTAAACCAGTAGTGCTGATGAGCAGGATGAAAGTAACTGCTATTTACAGTTACCTATATATATATATATATATATATATATATATATATATATATATATATATATATATATATATATATATATATCTATATATGTATATATATATATATATATATATATATATATATATATATATATATATATATATATATATATATATATATATATATATATATATACATATATTAATATATTAAAACTCTATCTCGACAGGTCGGTTCCGCATTACATTACGATCCAATTTTTCTAAAGTGAATATCTCGGCGAGTATTTACCCCCCTTTAAAACAAAGACACCATTAAAATCCTTACATAATAACCTTTCGAACGGGGGGTCAAGTGCCGTCAGAACATTGTCACAAAGCGAAAGTCATATATTTATACTCACCGCTTGGCCAAACAGTCTGTATTTCATATGGAGAAAAAGTTGAATATCTTCTAAACTTTCGTCGTTTTTTGAAAGGTTATATGAGAAAGATACTCTTTGAATTCAAGCGCTTTCGTGTAGAAAGTTTCGTTTGAATACGGCAAGTAGAAATATTTATTTCGAATTTTTCAAAATATCGGGTTTTACTCCACACGCGTTTATTACGCAATACTTGGCCAATAAGGAGCTCCTTTAGCCGGGATGACGTCAAACTCACGCGTATACGAGCACTTTGACCTTTAGAATCCATTTCTGGCATTTCCAGAGTCACGCGATACAAGCGTCGCATTGTTTTGACGATTTTTCCTCGTATTTCCGGTTTGGATTATTGCAAATTCGGACCAGAAATGTAATATTCGGCAGTAAAAGTCGCACTTTAAAGATATAAGCTTGAAAATAACACTATACATGTTATTTTTACCTGCTTAATTCATCAGGAGTATCAGAATGAGCATGCGACTCAAGGGGCCAAAGTTATGTTCGGCGAAAGGTATGTCTATGTTTATAATTTGTTAGTAATATTGCGTAATTTGATCATATACGAGCTCGCTTGACTTTCAAAGCTCATATAAATCGCTACAATGTAGCCATTGACTAAAACTATCGTTATGAATTAGTAGATAATTTTACACTGAATCGAATGGAAGTATTTTCATCTACATAGGCGTTTACTGAACCGAAGATATGAATGAAACAAACTTATTACGTGCACGTACTAAGTTTAATGGGCCGTGCTTTAAAAGAGTTGAAGTTGCAACTCCGAGATTCACGTTTTCACGATCTTCAGGCGACAATTAATGTTCAACTAACCTTCCCCGATTGATGACGTTGATATCCGTTGTACTGCTTGCATGACTGAGTTTGCGTGCGTGATTGAGCGTGCGCACGTTCAAACTTTCCAGCCAAGAGTCGTTTTTGGTGGACGCACTTCGAGAACCACTCGCGTCTCCTATTCAGCAAGTTTGACTTATCTGCTTTCAGAATACACAGTTTCTCTTGGAGGCAAATGTTACATCTCTTTCCACTGCTGGAATACGAGGCTGCTCGTTTCAGGATAGACCAATTAATCCTGAAGTCCTGCTGCTTTTCCTTTAAGTTCCACACATTGTCTATCAATGAAGTCAATACTTCAACTTCTACGTAATTCGCCATACAGCCATCATAGAAAATCTAAATTTGACCAAACAATGTTCCCTATTTTCACGACAGTCCGCCATTTTTTGAGATCAACGGGAGGTCAATCCATGAAATATTGCGGCTCGCCCGAAATTATTGAGGAACTTTAAACTTCGATAATGTTTACCTTTCACCGAGATCAAACAGCAAAGCGTCATCAGTATCCTCCCGTTGGTGGGTAAGTACGTGCGAGTATAGTACGAGCCAAAGACGCGGACCGCCGTTCCGGGCGTAAGCCCGGGGCGAGGATACTAATTTCGCCCGACTATTTGCACCTAGGGAAAGGAAAGCATTAGCGAAGTCTAAAGTTCATCGTGTTTTTAAATTTTGTTCTGTTGTTAAAAGTGTTCAAGTTAAAAATAAAATTTAATTTATTTTTTGCAATTTTGTACAAAAATTAACAAAAAAAACAACAAAACATGAATATTTCATGTTGAAACAATGTTTGGAAAATGTAGGATGATGAACAGTAAGTGCGCGCCTGCGATAACTGATAATCTTTAGACTTCGCTAATGGTTTCCTTTCCCTGGGTGTAAATAGCCGAGCTGAATCAGTACCTTCGGCCTGTGGACAACCCTGATTGCCGCAAATAATTAATTATCAACCAAGGCTGCTCCTTGGCAAATGGCAACCAAAAAGAGCTAACATAATACTAGAAAATACATGCATGCAGAAACACTAGCCTTACTGACAAAACCATTATGTTTTCTGAACATTAAGTATTGACAGTAGTGTCATGGTAGCACGATAATTTTAAGAATAGTTTTAAAATTTAAAAATCCCCCCAAAATGTCACTTCTAATTACAAAATGATCATTTTCCCAAACATATATTTGCGAGGTATGTTATTATATGTAATATAAGCTTCAATTTACACACTGTAAACATTGAGCCTGAAATAAACTGATTTCAAATTCTCGCATGAAAAAACTTGGCGTTCCTCTTTATTTAATATTTTAATATACAAAAAAAGGGAAATTAACAAAAATACACTCAAATGATATATGCTGTCTTGTTTCACTTACATACGCTACGATCGCATCAGTTTTAAAGCAATTATAAAACAAACAATACATCTATTCAATAATAAAAACAAACTTACCTTCATTAACGTCGGCGACTTTGCTTCATTCTTTTAGACGTTTTTGGACGTCAGAAAGGTTTTGAAATTTACAAAATCTTGCAAAAATACAACTCGCAAGAATGTTTGTTATTTCGCTGTCATGATGCAGTCGTTATAATGCAAATTTCAAATTTGACCAATCAGTTTTCACTATTTACGACAGTCCGCTACATATTTTGAGATCAGTGAGGATAACCACCCATTAGCGATGAGCCATGCGCCGACGATACTTGATGAACCTTAGACTTCGCTAGTGCGTTCCCTTCCCCGGGTGTAAATAGCCGGTCGGAATTGGTACCCTCGCCCCAGGCTTACGCCCGGAACGGCGCTCCGCGCCGTTGCAATTGGCTCGTGGATTAAGGAAATTATCGAATAAAAAGAGCTCGGAATATATTGGCACGTATTATAATAATTATAATATAATACAACTTTTATTGATTGATTAAATTACAGTAGACACAATTATCAAAGTTACATTAATTTTAGCTGAGTTCCTATTCCAATAATGCTTTTAATAAAATCGTTTATGGCCAGAATGGAAAATCGTTACACATGAATCTAATACCAGATTTTATTCGTTCTTTTGTACAATCCTCTCTTTTCCCTTTTTTATCGTCTGCGATAAACACTTCATTTTCACTCTGAATTATTCCAATGCTTGGCTTTCTGAGATCAAATATTGGTTTGAAGGAAAAAACTTCAGATATGGTCGAAGTCATCTCGTCTACAAAATCTTGTGTTTCTTTGTGATATTCTGTAAACCTTCCAGCAGTGATGGGTAATACATTAACCTTTACTCCGTGATCGTCGCTTATAGGACATTTGTATTCAGCACAAGCTGCAGATTTGTTAAAATTCAAAGTTATAATTACATATCCTGCTCGAATCTCGTCATCTCGTAGCACAGTTTCAACCACGAAGGAGGCCGTTTTGTTAGGACAACGGTCAATATTATCCACGGCTATTTTCACGTAGCATATTTTAGCTAGTTCTGGATCATCATACCAATTATCCCCTAAATTTTCTACTAAGTCCTCAACAACTTCTTTGCGCTTGGGAATCTCGAAAGAGAAACTGTAATCTTCCGGGCTACTTTCACACGAATTAATATCGTCGTAGAATGGCGAGGGTTGAGCACTCAATGGCCGTGTTAATTTATCAATTGTTATCCTGTTGCTAAATCGATCTGCAACCTCCGCTGAACGGTAGTATTCAATGACGTGTTTACTTTTCACATCTTTACTAATTCCCGTTTCTTTAGGAACAAGATATTCTCCATTCACAGTAGCTCTTATTATCGCATGATCCTCAGTGCAAAATGTTTGTATGCATTTTGGAATATTCGTCTGCACATTGTATAGTGAATATCTATTCAAGGAGCCTTGTGTTGCTAGTACTGTAACTTCTACGGCTTTCAAGTCTTCAACGTCAACGTCTGCTACCTTAACTTTGAAGAGACACGTTTCGGTCAACTGATCTAGGTTGAGAAGTTTATTATACAGTTTGGGATCAATTTTTGAAAAATAAAAACGTCTGCCTGATCTCTTTGACCGTCTTGTTTCGTGTTGTTTCAAACTAGAGTCCATAATACGCCATCTGCCAGTCTTTTCGTCCATGTACCAAAGCTGTACATTTTCAGCTTCTTTTTCGGTAATGTTGTACTCATCTAGGTCAAATAGCACGTCAATGGCTGTGTTTGGCTGCAAACGTTTTCCATTCACATCACTAAAATCCATCTTTATCACGCCAAAAGTCTCGAGCTGTTCTTGCACACCGTCTTCATTAACAGTGGTAAAATCGCCATCAGCTTCTTCGACTTCTGTCGCGTTTCTTGGATCAAGAAAACTAACTTCAACTTTCGCTTCTCCGTTATAAACCGTCCCGTTCTCAGTTATTAAGCTTTGCGGAGGTAGAGATAGCGCTACGGCAGGAGATGACTCTTTCTCGCTATCAGTGTTACCTACTGCTTGTCCAGAATTTTGTCTTCCCAATGATCGCGAATTTCCCAGAGGAATTTCAAAGCCTTCCTTTGCATTAACTGTAATCGGCTCAGGCCGCAGCTTCATGCGTGCCTCTACGTAAGTTTCACGACCTGGGACTAGCGGAATGACTTTAGTTAAATCCTGGAAATTGTTATAACCACGTTTATCCTTAAACGTAACAACTAGGCGAGATAAATCCCCAGGAATTTTAAACGAAAATTCACCCTTTCTTCCAGTGCGAGTCAAGTATTTTTCGCCCTGGTATATATATCCATATTTAAAGGGGATATTGTTTGGGCCTCCTCTGGCAACTCCTTTGACAACTGTTTGCCTGGCGATGCAATCCCCACAACCACACTTTGTTACTCGCGTCATGTCAAAAGAAAATCGTTTGCAGTCGATTTTAATTTTCTTTGTGGCTGTGGGCCGGCAACAAAAATTGTCTTTACAATCATTTATATTCTTTAGATCACGTGCAATGCATTTCTTCTTATGACATTTACCTACATCAATTGTAGCAGAGTTTTTATCTTTGTCTGTGCAGCCTTCCGGTAGTGTAATTATCCGTTCAGATGGCGTGGAATCACAAGTATCATCAATCCCACCTGTTAAAAAGATGTCAATTAAAGGGATATGGGAATAAAAATTAACATTATCTTATTGAAAGAACTTTTAAAGTTATATATGAAGACCTTTAAATAGGAAAAGGATACATATTCTTCTGTAACCCAATTTAAATTAGCTACCTGCATTACCTGCATGTGGTTCAAAACGTTTCTTACAAATCCTAACAAAGGTAGTAGAAACCTCATTTATAGGTTCTATCGGTATGCCTTAACATGCAAGTAGACTAGCATCAAACTATGTCTCTCAAAGAGATTTCGGGAATTATCAACAATCTCTTTGCCCGCATTAAAATTTCTTCGACCCACAAATAGCACCTATATTTAAATAGGGCTTATAAGAATCTACAAAAAAACTCTTTTAACCACAGTTAGTTAATTAATCTAAATTGTATTTCCACAGTTCTGAGGATCCAAATATTTCAAAATTCTTGATGGGAGCCCCCTTTCTCAGTTAAGCTCTGGAATTCGGCGTTGAGAGATGAAACCTAATTTCCAATTTCGTGCTTATTGGATGGAATATTTTCGCTGGTTACGATCCGACGGGTTCTTCGCGTTGTTTTATTATGCAATGAACCTTGCCAATTATTTTCTTTTATCCAATGGCCTCGTTTTCACGTCAAATACCTACTCGTGTTTTGTGCTTAGTAGGGTTGAAAATCATTTTGTTATTGAGCCTAGGAACAACAAGAAACAAATTCGTCCAAGAAAACATGGGAATATAATCTTTATCTGCCCCTGACATGCTAAAATAAGTTAACATGGAAACGAAGCCATTGAACAAGGGCAGATTTCGTGCTCGACCAAGCAGCGCATTTGTTTACATTTTCACTCTTAGCTAATCATAATGCAGGAAATGAGAAATTTACAGCAAGGCGAGCTAGGAAATATTGCCGTCTTCTCGGACTTCCGTGACATTCAATTTTCACTTTTTAAATTTAAAACCAAAAGATTATGATATAGCACATCAAAATAGTTTGCCGTGGGCATTTTTAAATTTCGACCTAGAACGGAAAATATCCATGTTTGAAATTTTTCCCTATGTCGCGTATACAAATTTGAGTAATCTCATTTGACTGCAATAAAATTAAAAATAGGTACGCAGTGCGTACATGTTGCATGCTCTCCCCTCTCCTCCGAGAAGACTTTTGTTGCCCCTTTCCTTTGCCCTTTTCCGCCCGTGCTCCTCCGCCCAGCGGCTCCGCCCGTGTTCCGAGATCCGCCATGTAAAGTGTAGTGAAATGTATCTCATCGTGATAAATCATAAGACAATTAAAGCCTCTGCGGAGGAGAGAGTTGCCTGCCTTAGAAACATTCAGGCCGATTTCCATTTAGTGCAAAAATTCGCGAGATCAACTATTTGCGATCACTTTCTTTTGAAATGCGTTCAGTCAACCTGATTCGTTGCATTTGATTGCTTGTATTTCAAAAGAAAGAGATCGCAAAATGTCGACCGCACGACATTTTGCACTGAATGGAAATCCGCCTTTATGGTGCGCAAGCGCTTATAAATTTTAGTATAACTGGCCTGAAACTTAAAATATTTATTCAATAAGTTTAATATCAATATATTTATTGAAAAATAACTATTATGCCAAAATAAGAAAACTTAAAATTCTCACACGAATGAGCAATGTTTTTATTAGCGACTGTTCATCTGTAATTGCAAGAGACGGTAATAACAAGGTCAACAGGTCAAGATTTTATCACTGATTGACTATTCGAAGTAAACAATGTTTATTTCTCCTACAAATTTAAACAAATTTAGCATTATTGTGGCTTATTTAAAGTATAAAAACCCGTGGAAAACGTGAATAACTACAATAGATTGAAAATAATTATTGAACTATGATCTCGACCAGTCAACTATGACTGAAATTATCGAAGTCAACCTCGTTCCCAGGGCTTTAGTGTGAGGACGAGAGGAGAGACGATGAAACCCTGGTCTGGGCCGGTAACGTGACTACCCCAAAATTTGACAGCTACTCGTCAAGAAGTGGCGAGATATTCTTTAATGAAATATGGAAGTCTTCGAAACAAATAAACAGCGCCAAAAGACTTCTCAATCGATATTATTTATGTGTAGCGAAGTTTGGCACGAATCAGCTGAAATCTCTGAAGACCCCGTCTATGTTTTCTAAGATATACCGATATTTCTGGAGATTTTCAACCACAGCCCACAGGCAAACTGCATCCAAGCTGCATCTAGGCGTCTCCATGCAAGTGGTAATTCACACGAAATTTGCTTTCTCTCGTCTTGAACAATATGGCTATTGCCTTTAATATTTAGTTTAAATATAGTGCTCTTATAGATCTGACTTAGTTTGGCATAAATAAACACAAATATAAAACCTCGCGTAACCTGTTTACGCTGTACAGGAACAGGGGCGAATTCAGACAGGTTTGACAGGTTTATATAAACCTGTCAGATTTTCCAAAGAAAGAAATCCTTCCATGTACATATATAACTAATTTAAATAATATTCTGTTTCATAAACTTGATGTTGTCTAATCTATAACGCCATTTAAATACTCTTATTGAAATTTGATTCTGGATTACCAAGCGTATTTAGACCCACTTACATAATAAGCATTTAATTAATTAAGGACTTATCGCGTTGGTCTCCTCCTACGAAATGTTGTAATACTAGACAAATAATCTGCTACTGTATCGTCGTGGGTCGTGGACTGAAACATCGCATGAATCACACATAACCGCCCGCAATTATAAGTAAACCGGTGGTCAGAGTTTTCTCAATGAGAGTAAACCGGTCGATACGCCATTCGATTGGCTAAACGGCTGCGCTCCGACGGATGTAAACCGGTCATAAACCTGTGAGTCGAGCAGTATTTAGAGAAAGCTGGGCATGAAAGTTAACAGAACTCGAGGACGCGCGAAATATGCTTATAATTTTGCGTGACTGAAACTTGCGTTGGCGATAGAAGCATTTACATGGATTTCTTGCTCATTTTGAAGGTTTGTTTAAAAGTATATAGTCTAAAGTTAAGCTATTTCTACTTACTGTATAATAAATATCGATTCGTCAACAAGCGTATCGATGTTTATACGTGTAACTTCTTCACAGTCTACACTCATGATAGCGCGAAATATGTGTATAATTCTTATAATATTGCTTGACCGAATCATTGCGTTTGCGATAGAGAATTAGGAAATAATTGTAAAGCTTTCACGCTCTTGCAGTTTGGTTTCTATTTCATTGTTAAAGCGGTTGGTTTGAAAGCGTATAGATCTAAAATTACAACTATGTTTATATTAAAAGCATCTCTACTTTTTGTACTTATGATAAATATAGATGCTTCAGCAAATTGCCAATTCTATATTTTTATCACCAGCTAATAAATCAGTTCCGAAAAGGTTCAATTCATTGTTTGAGCTGTTTTCAAGTATTCGGGGTATTCTGAAACTGTAAAACTCGGTGGCGTGACGAATCTTGTAGAGACTACATCGGCCTAGCCGTAGAGCTATTAAGTTTTAAAACAGGCCTAAATTAATTTAGTAGTTTCATTTAATTGGTTTGTCTTGCTTCTATTTGTCGATCAGTATAGAATATTGTAAATTAATTAAAATATTACTACAATGCAATACGTGTAGTATTTCATCAGACATCTGCATTACATTAATATAAATACTGTACAAGGAAAACTACAGCTTAAATAATAGTAGACGTTTCTTGTTTTGTCAGGAAACATCACAGCTCACGTCGACACGGCTTTTGAGTTTGGTAACCGGCCGAGGCGAAAATAAATCATGCAGTCTGGAAAACGTCTTACTTTGAAAGATTATTTTGCAAAACATACTCATACACACAAGAATCATGAAAATACAAATGTTGAATTGTTATTGTCAACTGTCAAATTCAGTTATTTTTAGACAGTATGGTGTTAGCCAATCAGAATGCAAAATTGACCGGCCCAGACCAGGCTAGGGCTTCCTCGTCTCTCCCCTAGGCCGTCCTCACACTAAAGCCCTGGAAACGAGGTTGTATCGAAGTAGAATGCTATTTCGTTCTATTAATATTGAAAGTATAAAAACCCGTGGAAACCGTGAATGACTATAATATAGATTGAAAATAATTATTGAACTATGACCTCGACTCGACTATGACTGAAATTATCGAAGTAGAATGCTATTTCGTTGCATTAAATATCAATAGACAATAATTCATGTTATTTACAGAATGTGTTGTATAAATTTTGAAGTTTTGCACACAATATAATCAGTGCTAGCACAATGGCTTCGTTTCAATTTGGGCATATAAAAAATTATAATTTTGATGGCGTGGCCTTTTACACGATATATAATATTAAACGCCTGATAATTGATAAATAATCAGTGCAAGCACAACGGCACCAAAATAACAACAAATAACAAAATATACGCTAAATTAAAAACAGCAAAGTTTTACTTACCTCGATTTATTTTTCTAAGGCGCTAAATTACATAAATTTTCGACGAAAAATCGATATTTTCTTTGCGTTTCCTCGACGAAAGCCGTGAACGAAAGCGTGCATATTAAAGTATTCACATCACATGAAAATGCTCGTCGGAAAAACTCGGTATTTGTCGTATTTTACGAATTTGTCACGTGATTTACCACTGCCGGTACAACGCGTCACGAAATTTTAATAGAGCTACACACGTAAAAACGCACAAATTGTAACAAGTCTGCAAACAAGTTGTTACACGTCTGTTCACAAGCTGTCAACAAGTTGTGTTCGCACTGCTTGTTC